ACACTCTAATTTTTTAATGAGCATCGTCACACTGTCAAGCATTTGCTCACTTCGTGTTTGAGTTTGAGACTAACTGCAAGACAGGATCAACGTTGAACCAAACGTCTGGAAGCGTGTCATGCGCGGCCTGCAGAAAGAGGGCCAGCTCAAGGGCGACGAGGATCTGGACGAAGGTATCGAGGAGGAAGACGAGAACGAATACGAACACGAGATGGAGAACGGTGTCGGCGAAGTCGAATACGTGAGCGACATTGAGGGCGAATCCGACGACGAGATGGAGGACTTTGAAGACTGGATCGGCGGGCAGAGTCCCGACGAAGGCTCAGGCGACGAAGATGACGAGAGCGGTAGCGGCAGCGAAGAAGATGAGGAGGATGAGTCTGCAGATGAGGACACAGAGGCTCTCAAGAAGACGCTGGCAAATCTCAAGCGCAAACGCCCTGCTGGCCCACCACCCAAGCCCAAGAAAAAGCCATCGAAGGACTCCAAGGGGCCGAGACGCGAGATCGAATACGAGATGGAGAGAGAGCCCGCGGCGAGAGAAGCCATGCGCGTATGATACCTCTAGCATTGTCACACTATTGGCGTTCAGCGATGGGATGTGAAGTTCACGTCTTAATGACACAGGAAAAGCAATTCGTCGTCGCGCCAGAGGCGCATGCTGCAGCGATGCTCTGTTTGATACCATCTCTTCACACAATGCCTCAATCCCTTATATATTCACTCTGGAACGTCATGAGCGACGGCACGTTTAGTATTCACAATGGTCAGCAAAGTGAATGAATATCACAACATCCAAGCAGGCGCTTCCTCCCCGTTTCGAAGAATCGAAACCTCTAATCAATCAACCACATAACCCATACAAATACCATGTCGTCAAATCAAGTCGATTCTTCAATGGGCGTTTCGCGAAATCTGGACGCGGCGAGTGAAGCTGAATCTGTCCAGAACGCCTGGGAAGATCATTGCGCACTTGCCGGTCCCAGAATAAGTCCGTCTTCTATCTCAGAGACAGACCTGCCCCCAACGAATGAATCTCCTCCTCGGCGAAGTACTCCCCAATCCAAGCCCACTAAGCTAAACGACGAAGATTTCGGCGACTTTGTAACAGCGTCAACTGATCCTTTGAAGCGACCCGTCTACCATGCAACAGAGAATGATGACGAAAAGCAGGGGCTATTGAAATCTTATTCTGCGCCTGTATGGGAGGCTGATACTTACGTCGGCATGGGCCTTGTGGAGCCTGTCATCGCCGGGATAGGTATGTTCAAGAGGACGGTGTTACCGGCAAGAAATCTGGCTACCTGGAAACTGAACAAAAGCCGAGCGCAGATGATTATAGAAGAACACAAGAAAAGGCGACTGCAAAAGCCTGTCGTCTCTGCGACTCCTACACCTGCCCCATCTCCTACAAAGAAGGGCGCAACGGGGGTCGCCACTAGTTCATTCGGGGCTGACTACAATCAGTATCTAGACACGCACAGTAGCAGTATTTCAGCGTCGAATATGAACGGGGTGATGCGGCCAGTAAGCTTAACAGCACCGATCGATGAGTTGATGGAGACGGAGCGTAACGCTTGGGGGCCTTAAGAATGGAAGCATTGGCCAGACCACTTCATCGATATAACAACTAGTCATTCCAGGCAAACAATGGACCTTGAATGACTCTGAACACCTTCGAATCGAAAACGTATGCATGTGCGTTGGAATCCGTCTACTTCTTGCATCATCACACCAGTTAGACGCGTGTGAAAGAGATGCAGGTGGCCGTGCTAGCGGCATCAGATAGAAAATGCAACGGGTGTTAAAACAAGATCGAGATGTCGCATGGATACTCGCGGTGAACATTACTCCAAGAATGCAGTGGGCCACCTGGGCAGCATCGAAAGGACTCACGTGCAAGTTTTAGTACACCCACAGTGCAACTCCAACAGCGCGTTCTCCACAAAGAAGCCTCCCCCAAGCTATCGGCTCCACAGCCTTAATCCTAACCGAGAAAACTTGGTGCTGTCGCGTGGTTGACGCACCCTGTCCCTGATGATCGTAAATCCCGCAAGCTGGATACTTCAACCGGCACACCTACCGTAGAACCAAACACCTCCCCGAAGACTTGGGTTTGACAACACCTGTCCCTTCGAAACGAGGGCATTTTTAGGCATTTCCCAGGTTATTCCCACAAGTGCTGACGTGCGGAACTACGCTTTTTGGCAAGCCGCCCAAGCAATTTCTTAGACGAGCCGAAGCATCGGACTAGGCCGGAGCTTTTCGCGCCTTCGCGATGCTTAGCCACCAAGCACCAAAGCGGCGCGAAACACCGTCTTGGTGCGCCCGTGTCGCGAACTTTCACCCTGTTAGCGACATCATAATGCGCCGGAAGTACCTATTGCGGTAATTCCGATGGGCGACTGCGAGCTGACTGGTGAATTGCGACGAATCACACAGGGCGACCCTGGCATCCCCGTGCGATCGGGTAGTGTGTCTTTCTCCGCACGCCAAACTCCACGGGGTTGGGATCACCAGCGGCTCCAGACCAAACGTCATCGTCGAGAGCAAACTGTGGGGATGACGCCGGTAGACAGGGCGGTTCGGCGTTATTGCTGGGTTGGCGGCGTGAGGACGGACTCTACTGTTACATTGGTGGCAGAGAGTCGCGGTTGCCCTTTCACATTTTCTTAAGAGAGGGTCGTCGCGCCTGCTGTCGTACCTCATCGATCGCACCTCGCACGAATTGGAAGCGAGCTGGCCTCTTGTGTTGTTGTTTTGTTGCGACGCCCTTCTTACCTCGTTGTCTAGCACGACACGCATTGATCGTTGGTATTACTAAACAAGATGGGCAAGTTCTATGGCCTCAAGGGCACTAAGCTCAACATTGCTATTGCTGTGATAGCAGGCACGGATTTCGCGCTCTTTGGTTATGGTAAGCATTCATGCCAACACTGTCGGTATCAGTTCTAACATTAGCTCAGATCAGGGTGTAATGGGCGGTTTGCTCACGCTGGGTTCTTTCATCAAATACTTCCCCGAAATCGACAGCAACAACCCACCCCCAGGGAGCTCGAAAAGCCATGCCGCGACTATCCAAGCCATCACAGGTAAGCTCGCTCAGCACCTAAACCCAACGTCGCTAACGTCCGTCTAGTCGGTGCCTACACACTGGGCTGCTTCTTCGGCGCCGTAGCAACCATCTGGCTCGGTAACATGCTCGGGCGCAAGAAGACTATCTTCATCGGCAGTGCTATCATGATAGTCGGAGCCATCCTCCAAACAGCATCGTACGGACTCGCACAGCTCATCATCGGACGATGGATTACCGGTTTCGGCAACGGCATGAACACAAGTACAGTCCCAACATGGCAGTCCGAGACATCGAAACCACATCGCAGAGGGCAGATGGTCATGATTGAAGGCTCAATGATTGTCTTCGGTGTCATGCTTAGCTACTGGCTCGACCTCGGCTTTTCCTTCCTCGAACCTAGCAGCATCGCCTGGCGCTTCCCTATCGCTTTCCAGATCATCCTGGCCCTGTTCATTCTCGTTATGATTCCTGGTCTTCCCGAAAGTCCGCGTTGGTTGGTACTGAAGGGTCGTGAGGAAGAGGCTCTCGAAGTTTTGGCTGCGTTGAGCGACCTTCCTATGGACGACAAGAAGGTCGAAGCCGAGTTCCAGGCTGTCAAGGATGTTACTGAGGAGATGTCGCGTGGCGGCTTCCGCGATTGCTTCAAGAGGAACAAGAATCGCAACTTCCACCGCACTGTGTTGGGCTATGTCAATCAGATGTTCCAACAGGTAAGCTTCGCTATCACGACAGGACAAGAGATAGTAACTAATAATACTCCAGATCTCGGGAATTAACCTGGTAACTTACTACGCGGCGACCATCTTCGAGAACTCTATCGGTCTATCGCCCTTCCTCAGTCGCCTGCTATCCGCCTGCAACGGCACCGAATACTGGATGGCTAGTTGGATCGCCATCTTCACAATCGAGAAGTTCGGACGCCGCTCTTTGATGATGTTCGGTGCGGCTGGCATGTCCATGTCCATGGCCGTGCTAGCAGGCGCAACCAGCAACATTGGCAACACAAGCCTGGGTCTCCTCGCCACCGTCTTCCTCTTCGTATTCAACTCCTTCTTCGCCATCGGCTGGCTAGGCATGACATGGCTATACCCCGCAGAAATAACACCACTATCCATCCGCGCGCCCGCCAACGCCATCTCCACCACAGCCAACTGGATCTTCAACTTCCTCGTCGTAATGATTACGCCCCCTGCTTTCGCAAACATTGGCTACCAGACCTACATCATCTTCGCCGTTATCAACGCCGCAATGGTACCCTCGGTGTATTTCTTCTTCCCAGAGACTGCATACCGTTCTCTAGAGGAGATGGACGAGATCTTCCATGCGGCAAGCGGTCCGTTTGATGTCGTTGGTATTGCGCATAACTTGCCGCATCGCTATGGCAAGAAGGGCGAGCTGCTGGTTGACTATGCGGATACGGAGCAAGCGCATGAGGCGGAGAGGAGGAGGAGCTCGGTTGTCGCTACGCAGTCGAATGGGGGTGTGCTGGCCAAGGACAATGAGAAGGAGCTTAGGGAGCATGTTGATAATGCGGGGAAGTAGATGGTGGCTGATGGGTTGATGATGATGAATACATTGTATTCTCTGAATGTGACTGTTCTGTCCAGATGTGTGCAGCTGTCTTCTTCGACGTGACACTCATCTTTACTACGTGAATTATCTCTTCTTTCCTGTGCTAGACACGAACGTATTTGCGTCCTCCAGTCCGTGTGCCTAATAGACTGATAAATGACGTTGGTGTAAGCAGACGTCTCTCGCACCATTTTCTCAACTTCTCATTCGATCTCGATCGTTGGTCTGACTCTCATCTCTCCCATCATACTTCACCCTTCTCGGCTCCTTCTCCAGCCCATCCCACATTTCCTTACTGTAATACCCAAAGCAAACATCGCAGTTCCCACATTTGCCACAGCCTTTTGGCTCCCTACGACCCGTATACACATTGAAGACCCAATCTGCTGGTCTCTCACCCCACGGACCGCTCTTGAGGTCGTACTTATCAGGCGCCTCAGGGAATTCAATCTGATGGCGCGGCTTGGTGCGATTCGTGAGCGTATGCAGATCCCTGCCCCTCTTCCTCGCTACTTCAATCGCGCGACGGAACCAGACCTTGCTCTTTTCGTTCGGTGAGGGTTCTCCTCCGCGTCCAGGACTAAAAGTAGTGATGGGCCCACTGCTTTTCTCCACGTTCTCCAGATACACAGCTTTCGGCACTACGGTTTCGGGCCCTGGGACTCCGAACAGAGACAGTGTGTTATACTTGGGATTTCTCTCATTCGTGAGAGTATCTTTTGGTCTAGGTCGTCCTCCGATCAGAGAAATGATCGCATCTTCGAAGCCTTGTTCCTCGTTCGGTTCCCATTTGATGTAAGATTCGCTGAGTGATCCCCATAGAATCAGGGCTTCATAATTCCATACACTCTCCAAGAAGCAGCGTTCCAGATACGCTCCGTCACTCTCCCAATCTTCTGCGCTGTCGTCTCTTTGGTAGAAGGCCTCGAGCTCAATGTCTTGGATGTCCATGCAGAGGTGCTTTAATTTCCTCATGTTGCTGAGTTCTTCTGGGCGGAAGGCTGCGCAGCGATAGCCGTGAATGTTGTGGGGATTGTCATGATAGTCATAGAACATCAGACTTTCCAGGGTGTTCCCTTGGTAGGTGCCGAGATTGCGAACGAGTTCGTCCGCGTCCTCGAGTCGAGGAGCACCGCCGGCGCGGAAAGAGGCTGTGATGAGTCCTGATGGGCCGGCAGTTAGAGCAGTGAGGAACTCTTGCCCAAATTCCCCACAACTGTCCAAGAAGAGATGTTTGACAGGGGAGGTTCCAGCAGGTAGAAGGTTCTTCCAGGGCGTCCTGTCTTGGAAATTACCCACGCAATCTCTAAAGTATATCTTTTCGAGGCTTGGGAGACGGAGGAACTGAACCAGAGACACTGTGTTGGAAGGCCAGGTATTGGGATGATAGGCCGAATCCATCCAAGTTCCGGTGGGCAGACCAACAGCGACTGAACGAAGATTTGTGAGGCCAGGTCCCCAAGAAGTTTTTTTGTTGTGAGAGTCGTTGATAAATGTCTGAAGCCAGTCGAGACATGACCTCGATACCGCCCCATCGCGCGCCGTCATGACGAACTTGACGTCTCGAAGCCTAGGACAATTTGCAACGAGGAGGGCCTTCAGGTAAATGTCATAGCCATCAATAACTTGTGTACGTGCCTCCTCAGCGCGTGCACCGGGAATAAGATCACTCTGTGCTTGATCTAATGGCTCCATATAGTCGTCGATTTCACCGGGTATGAACTCCCAGGTTGTTGGCGACCGTGAGCTCTGATCGATCGGAACATCGAAATCAAGCGTCTTCCATGCATCCCATCCTGTGCGATCATACCAGACCTCCAGACTTCGGACGTGCCAGGCTGGGATTGGGTCACCATATCCGAAAGCGCTTCGGAGGAGTGTGGGAACAGTCGTTGGGTCAATATCAGACGCGACACAATACTTTGTATGAGCTTCGCGATGGCGTTTGAGAACGTCTGCAGAGCATGCGAATAAATGCTTGCAGGTATATGCGAAGTCGATCTGAGATGCGGGAGGTATGTAGTCGATGATATGATGAACGAGTTCAGTCGCAAGATTTGTGATGAAGCACGAGCTGTTGGTATTGACTGCACAAACGTCGCTCAAGTCAGATGGATGGGAAGGCAAAGAGGCGGTGAAGGTGAAATTGAAAAGGGCTCCTTTCCATTCTTCCATGTTGTGTTTTGGGGAGCTATGAAGAGAACGCCGGATTGAGACGAGTAACCGACTTTATACTTATCGTGAGAAGCCAACTCAAAGCATGAGACTTTGTCTCGGCGTGGTGCAAGCGGTATGGTGTTTTAGGCATCCTTCTGCTGCCTTCGGCTAATAGAGTGCTAGTTTTGCCGACGCTTCCATCTCCAATTGTAGCCCGTACACGAGTAGCACAACCAATTATGCGCATTTCTGGAGACAGTCGAGAGTCGTGGTCAATCTGGCTCGCACGTCGAAGTGTCAACGTGTAGCGTACGCCACCACAAGATCATATGTCTGGTACGATGGATGGTGGTGATGAGGTATGCGGTGTCGCGTAAGCAAAGGTATCTAGTTTGTGCCTCGTGAGGATGACATGAGCGCGAAGGTAGCTATGCGCTGTAGGAGCTGATAAAGTACTGTGGTATTGTCAGTCTGGTGAGCGAGGGTGTGAAGAGTGCAACGTACTGTCAGGACCGACTCGTCATCGCCATTATCGTTGGGCAGGTAAACGTAGAGGATGAGTGCATGCTCATGACAGAAGCCTTGAGAATGTCAGCATGTTGGCAGATTTGAAGTTCGTACGGCTTACAAGCGATAACTCGTCCCCCCAGCCTACCCACACTCATGACCTTGCCCCAGTCACGCCCATCTATCCTCACTGTAGCCCAGCCTTCTTCACTACGCCCATCCGCCGTGCCCAGCTGCTTCATACGCGTGCTTGGGTGTTCAGCTACGCCATCCTCTCCACCAGCGACGTGGCCAGGGTCGAGTTCTGGATTGCTAAGATCGGTCCAGATGGAGGATATGTTCATGGCGTCGGATCGGATCCTCATCCTCAGGCAGCCGTGCATGTTGGCGGCAACCTCTAGTCGTGTCCTTGATGCCGTGGTCGCGGTGCTTGCCTTGGTGTCTGCCAGCGCGAGCTTGGTGAACCTGTCGCTGATGCTCTTCAGCTGCATCAGAGGAGGCAGTATGATGTGTACGTCTGGCTCTCTACAGACGGGCTCATGCAGGTGCGCTACAGTGTCTGGCGCAAGCACTCGCACGGGTATCTCCTGCGTGACAATGGTCTCACGGTTTCCTCCACCAAATTCGTTGTCAAAGGCAGCGTCGAAGCCATCGTCGTTGTTGGCTGTGGCTGCAGGGAAGGCGCTGTACGTGTTCGAGGAGGTCGTGGTGACGATGGTGAGGGCAAGCATGGGCAGGTTGTCCTTCTTGGTGAGGCGGATCTGGGCCGACGTGGCATTGAGGGCCGACTTGAGGGCGCGGTTCAGCGACGTGAGCGGAACTTCGAGGTTGATGACGTTGTTCGCTGCTGACTGCACGCTGATGGTCTCGAAGATGGAGTCCTGCGCGGCGCATTAACATCGAGCCAGTCACAGATGAGACGGTATGCTTACAATAGAGAGGACACTGCATGTGGTTAGAACGAGAGACACCGAGGTATGAGGCGTCTACTCACGCCCATACTTGAGTGCCCTGCTCTGGTATGATGGTGAAGCATACTTGCTCCTCGCTGAGCTTCACCCACGCGAGCGGGCCGAGCGAATTGAGCGACGCCGTGAGCTCTAGATGGGATTAGTCGCAGATTGAAGTGTCGGCTTATGCACCTACTTGTAAAGGTATTAATGTTCTGTATTGACGCCTTGAAGCGCATCTTGCCGGTGTTGTTGCGCGACGCAGCCCTAGAGGTGGGAAGTCGCGACGCGTCGAGAAATGTGGAGGGGAGGCCAAGCGAACGTCATCGCATGCGCGTTACTCACCACATCATCACCAGTGGCCTTCACCAACTCTCCCGGTCATCGTCGCGCATTCAATCTGTCTTATTGCACGCGTTTTTTGATATATAAAATTTCGAAGAAACAGCGAAATAGCCCAAGCTTATCTATTCTCGACTGACTACGACGAGGCAGCGACTTCCCAAATCGTGTTCCGAACATGAGCAACACTATCGCAACCTTCTTTCTACGCCTGTCTCTGCACAGAAATACCAGTGTTCGATACTGTTGTCTTCGAGTACATCTAATCAGATATTAGTAGGGTCGGGTGGTACACCATGTACAACTAACCTGTCCACTCGTTCCTTGTATCTCATATCGACCTGCGCCGGAGAGCGGGACATTCGTGCCGCTCTTCGTAGTCGCCGAAACTGCAGTAAACGATACTGTTCCAAAATTTGGTGTAGCTACAAGCTGGCCTGGGATCACCTGGTATGCCTGCACGAACCAGTTTGCCGCCAGCGCAGTCAGAGAGGACGGATCCACGCCATTCGGAGCTGCGAGTGTTTGTGTTGTCCTCTTGTTCTGCGTCTTGTTCTCAATCGTCACAGTACCCCCTGCAGTAGCCACGCTGACTGTCACGGTGATAGAGTTACCGTTGGCAACAGGAACCGTCGAAGTGGTATCTGTCACTGGACCGGGGAAGTATGCAGAGAAGCTTCTGAGCGTACTGTTGTACACGATGCCACCACCGAGTACGTTCTCCTGTTCAAGTGTGTCCCCAATGCCGACCCAGATCGAGAGTCGGTTGCTACCCGATAAGTTCGGTACTGTGAACTGTATATGCAGTTAGTACTCATATCACATGCAGCACGAGAGTCACTCACAGTGCCTGTTACGCTGGCAAACGAGTCGTCTTGAGGCGCTTTGAGTACTGCACCCCCACGATTCAAGTCGAAGGCGGCAGATGCAGCTGACACCCAGCACGCGAGAATAGTACTGGTTTTCATGGTTGACTTGGATCTAACCAGTAAAGAGAAGAAATGCCGTGCGACAAGACGTCCAATGAGAAGAGATGCAAAAGCTTCCGGGTTTGAAGAGCGGAAGTGGTTGACGTTCCAGAAGGATATTTGAGATTCTGGAGTCTATACCTGACAGCACCACATGGACTATATTGCTTCCATGGGATCGTACCCGGTTGATAAGGGCTCGTTCCTTGCGATCAGATCCCACTCTCTTCAAACAGCCTATTCTCTCGGCTCACTGCACGCTTCAACAATCCGATCAGCACGTGACTACAACCCTTTGGCCTCCGTCGCTATCCAGCTGGGCACCTTATGATCGGCCAATGACAAACGCGAAATTCTTTTGTACCATGCCAACGTATCCGTACGAATGGCACGCGTTGATGAGGAACGGGGGTTGGACAATATAAACAGATGGTAAGGATTGGTACCCCACAACTTGGCGCGACGGCAAAGTAGAATAGATTGAGGCTCACGCAACCTTGTCCCAACGTCCGCGAATGTCATCCTATCCGAGAAGCAGATCAACCACTCACAGTTCTTTGGTAACCGGAGTTCTCGCTGTACAGGTGGGGCGTTATACGTTCCGCCGCTCACATGCATGCAACTGCCGACGGCATGACAAGACTTCCAAATACTTGTGGAATATCGAAGAGTAGCATCACTGGACTCACTCGGGCTCGAGGAATACCTTTGCCAATCACAGCGGTGCTGTCGCCAACTGAAGACGTCCAGCTCAGCATCATCATGAGATCGTGCTAATTGGCCAAGCCGACGACGAAGTATCTGCAGCTCGATCAGCAGCACTTTGGATGCCATGAGCGCCCGAAACGACAGGTCATGTTAATTTAAGTGGATGAGGAGCGTTCGACAATGTAATCCAGGAGCGTTGATGTGGAGGCTACCCACTCATGCGACGACATCGTGCATCCAAAATCATCTTTCGAGTCCCAAAGCGCATTAGCTTTCATCCAGAGTAAGATGCTGCCCATCGCTATCTTGACCAAGACCGAGTTTTGCCTTTGCGACACGGCGTACCCGCTCGGCATTACCACCCTTGATCCCGGCGGTGTTGCGTGCATATTTCACACTGTTGTATAAAATAGTGAGCAAGCATACCTCTTAACGCCTCCATCTTCTTCTTTCAAGCAGGACATCACCAGCCTAGTAAAATGAAAGTTTTCAGTGCTACCGCCCTTGCACTTGTTGCACCCGCAACGGCGCTTCTGCGCTTCCCATGCGCTCAGTTAGTCATCGACAGGCTAGACCCTCTGGTCACACCAGGCCAGGCTCCCTCGCCGCATTTACATCAAATTCTCGGAGGCAACTCCTTCAACGTCACCATGGATCCAGAGAAGGACATGCCGGGAGAGTCAACATGCACGTCGTGCCAGTTCAGCGAGGACTTCTCCGTATGTTGAACCAACCACCTGTCAACTGAACGACATTGCTAAGATTCTGCAGAATTACTGGACAGCCGTTCTATACTTCAAAGCCAGAAACGGTACATACAAGCGCGTTCCCCAGATCCCCAACTCAGGCTTCAACGGCGTAAACGGAGGCATGACAGTGTATTACATGCAAGACGGCCTCTACAACTTCCAGCAGACCTCCAAGGTGCAGGCTTTCCAACCCGGCTTCCGCATGTTCATCGGCGACGTCAACGCGCGCACCAAGGATGAAGCAGAACGCTTCCGTCAGCTAACATTCACTTGCTTGGACACCATCAACACGCGCGACCCGCAGACTCTCGACTTCCCCACTCAGCCGTGTAAGACGGGTATCATGACTGCTGTTCGCTTTCCCACGTACGTCTTCTCCATCCATCTCTTCTTATGAATGCAGCATGTCAGTCTACTAACAGACCCTAGGTGCTGGGATGGTGTCAATCTTGACTCTCCAGATCACATGGCGCACATGTCCTACCCAGAATACGGGTCTTTTGAATCTGGCGGCCCCTGCCCGGCCAGCCACCCCGTGCGCATGGGTCAGCTCTTCTACGAAGTCATCTGGGATACGAGCAAGTTCAACAACAAGGCCGATTGGCCTGAAGATGGCAGTCAACCATTCGTCTGGAGTTTCGGTGATGGGTAAGTCAAGGACTCTTATACTAGCTCGTATGATCGCTAATGGATTGTGGCAGCACGGGCTACGCAAACCATGGCGATTACCTCTTCGGCTGGCAAGGCGACGCACTTCAACGCGCTCTTGACTCGCCTTGTTACCAGAACTGTCCCACGCTCAAGACGCAGGACGCCGCTGCGATGAACAAATGCACTGTTCCGCGTGTTGTCAAGGAGGAGATTGATGCGTGGGTGAGCGAGCTACCTGGTGGCCACCAAGCACAGTATGTCAAGAAGCGGTGGACTGAGTAGAAGTGCACTCATTCATAGTATCAACTCATGATTGATTCGGATTGAGATAAAGAAATTACGACTATGGACTCTGGTAGCTACTGGGTAGGTAATGCTAAGTGAGATGCGTCTTTGCATCTCATCTTGCTAGTAATACACAAGATGTTCTGAAAAGAAGCTTTCTAATGATGGTATATGACTCCGGCCGAAATGTGGCACTGCGGTTTGCGACGAAATGTTGTGCGCAAGGAAAGACCGCTGTTGAAAAAGGAAAATGTGGGCTGTTGTAGCGTGCTCATCCGCGCGCGAGCCATTCGCGGGATCGAATGCGCGGTAGGGGTTTGTGAAGACTGCACTTAGCTGTGCCACGTATGCGTATCACGGTGATCTCGCTCGAGTCTGCTTCGCTTTGTAGTGCAGAGTCACCTGCGTCGCCGTTCCGCACCCGTGGTGCTGGGCATGTGCATAGGACTCCTGCGCTGTCCACGGCGTCTTCGTCGTCTTCCAGGTATATTGTGGGCGCGACGGAACTTCCTCCGTCTTCGCTTTTTTCTTCAAAGAGACCGATCTCCTTGTCCCAAATCTCGTTACTACTTTGCCTCTTCAATCCTAGGCTCTTGACAATCTCTTCGAGCTCCGCCGCACTAATCCTGGCTCTTCCGCTCATCGCTTTTTCGAAATCAGCATCGGAGTCTTTGGGTGGAGAGTATGTGAAGCCGCTGAGTTGTGACCAGTCGCTCACTCTACGTGTGCTGACTGTAGATACGGAGAAGCGCGAAGACGGTCCTGGTTTTGTGACCCTACGAGGGCTGGATCGGGTTGAGGGTGCTTCAATGTCGAAGTCAAGGTTAGATTCGTCGTCGTGAAAGCGTGTCAGGCTGTTGTTATTATGGCCGTGAGAGGGGAAGTATGCTGTGTCAGGGCGGTAGATGACTGTTTGGCCAGAATAGCGGGAGTTATACGAGTTGTAGGAGTCGTCCATCTCCGATTCGTAAGACTCGGAGTAGCTGGGAACGAGATCGTCGACATCGCCGTGAATGAGGTGAACAGTGCTGCCGGCGATGGGGCCAGAGATGGCGGCCACACGCGGGGCTTTGCGGGGTGTATCGAGAGGATCACGGATTGCTCTACCAAGAGGCACCAAAGTACTGAGGTTGACGGCTATCATGGCAGCTAGAAATTCGATCATGCCCCAGGTAGTGAAATTCAAGTCGAAGTTGTTGCGATGGCCAACGTGACCCCAAGAGGTGTAGACCGTTCGGGTTCTGATAATGGCCACAGCGCATACACTGCAAATGTGTTAACGGTCAATACTCTAGCGGCACCTTTGTGAACTATGAGAACATACAAGAGACCCAATAATAGAACTGCGAGGATGTGTAGCTTGGCTCCAAGATTGGAAGGAGTGCCGACGGCGATGGGTAAAACAAAGACGACCATTAGCACGTTTGACGCTGTATTGATCGCTAGACGAACGGGTCAGATCTGTTTGTTGTAGCCAAGAGTGTTGTACTTACAGTAATTCGCCATGGCCCAAATCTCGGACTCGCTTTGCGACATACATAATGCCGCATTATCGCGCGAGAGATCCCAAGCCGCCACGAGCGGTACACACTGAGCAAGAAGCGATGTGAACCATTCAATTGTGTGCCAGAACACGAGTACTAGGTCTGTCAGCTTTTGCTCCTGGAAGCTAGGTTGATTTAGACCTACGGATGAGGCAGATGAGAAGGAAAGTGCGTCCCATTTGTAGATACGACTGGCGTCTAGCACTCGTAAGAGGTAAGAGAGTGAAAGCAGCCGACAGCTTCACGAGACCAAGCCCGAAGATGATGAATGAGTTCAACGCCCACATCCACGGGCCCATTTGGACGGTCTTGCTGGCGGGTAAGACATAGTCGTCTTGCTGCTGTCCCAGACCGAGCTCTACGACTCCAGTGAACGTGATAAAGATCCCTATTGTGCATAACTATTCTGTGTCAGCAAATATGAGCCATGTCGTTGAACTGCACTGAACTTACAGCGGCCAAAACCATTAGTCCATCATCGATGCCGAAGGAGCGAAGGAGCTTTCCACGAGTGAAGGCTCTGAGCGAGTAAACCAACAGCGCGGTCAAGACCAGCGTAACGACAATGGCAAGATGAAGGGGCCCCTTGTCGTGGACTAGCCAGGGCAGCGGAGTTTCTGTTGTTGGGACAGCGCTGGCATCGACACCCATTGCGTGAGCTGACGGTAGCAGTGTCCTGTTTGCTCCGTGTATTCATGCAGAGTTGTCGACCAGGCGAAGGTGAGGTGATTGAAACGATTGAATGTCTGATGAGAAGTACACGGGTGAAACGACTGTATGGCAGGAAGAAAGGACTGTGGTCGAGAGGAATAGAGGGGCACGGGATGTTTAGAGGAGAGCGTCTTGTACGACGAATTGGACATGGCGTTTCAGCCCGGGGTACCACCGCAGACACAGGCGCGTGGTTCACGGCTCCTCGCCGACGTCGCTATAGAGATAGCAAAGCTGCGCATGCACAGTGGGGAGCCAATCGAGTTGTCATAGTCTGCAAGGTACGCGAGCGGGGTGTTTTGTTTTCCCGTTGCGCCTTTGGATTAGTCCTCCACTGCAGGGGTTTTAGTGCATTCCATGGTACAGCCCAGTCGCTCTAGTAATGCTATCGGGCGCCTGGGGACGGGATTATCAGGTACCGCTTCGGAAGGCTCCAGGACACGACTGCTTTTCTCAAGGTTGACCCTCTTTGCCAGGGGCCAGTTCAGGGCTCTGGAGGGTCTTCCTCAGGGTCAATACGGTGGGCGTCCCCTCGCGCATACCAGCGTACGCTACCAAGTTCGCACCAAGCACAGCAGGTAACATATGAGTCCTCTGAAGACGAGATCTCGTTCCGATGGAAGATTGCATCATCGTGAGAGAGTGGATGCGCCTCTGTCTCCACACCATGCAGCCCGAAACAGCAGTAGTGAAGATTGTGGCTTGGAATCGAAGCAGTAGCAATGCAGCATTGCAGTACAGCGCCAAAAGAACAAACAGAAAAAACGAACTCCGAAGTCTAATGCCCTCCAAGGATGTATTTGTGAGATGGGTTCGTGTGGATGGGTGGAGAATGGCGCATTCTCTCCTGCATGCGACTGGTGGATCGTCGCGTTGCTTTTGCTCGTGATCTTCAGATTGACGAACGGGTATTGCGAATTCCAGCGCCACAACGATATGCGAGATGCAGGAGACCTTGCAAGCACGAGGTATCCTCGATGGAAGGTCTGAGACGGGCTGGACTGCGGAGGTCGCACTGAGCCACGCGAGGAGGCGCATTACAACACCGATGTCTCCAACGGGATAGACTCGTGGCTCACTGGCTACCTAGGCATCGGCGGTGCATCTCACTTCAGATCTGGTGGACATTATGAAACGCGATCCTAGAAAAAGCATTGATGCGTTGGTGTGCGATGGGTTCATAGAGTTGAGGGGGTATTGGAGGTGGGTAGAATGGTAGCGAAGGTGTCGCTCCAGTGGCATCGAGGATGGTGGCTTACGCTTTGTTAGGAGCTGGCGGCGGGGAAGGAAATCTCCACGAGCCGGCCTTGGCACGCTAACTCGACCCAACAACTGGCGCAGACAAGTGACGCCCTGAAGCTATCCATCATTCCTACACTGGCGTATGCGCACAGCACAGCGTCTGCCGCAACCCGACCCAAATGTCTCCTCCCGGTCCCGCAGGCCATCAACACACAGTCCCGTCAACCCCTCCGAGGGGCCTCGAGCGCTGCGACTAGTTACAGACGAGGATCACTGAGCCTTTCGAGAGACGCATCAACCTCCCATCTACCGCACAGGCGCTCGATCTTCGCCCTACACCTAAAAAGCCCTTGAGAGGGTTCTATTTTGATGCGAAAAGGCCTCCATGGTGTGACTGTGGAGAAACACGCTGGTTGCACGAAGCCCAGAAGTCAGTCGCCGCATGTACAGAGCCGGAGCGATGTGTACGCTGTCTGGTCAAAATCATATAGACCGGTTATTTGTATGAGCTTCGGTGAAGCATTTGACGGGCTAAGGCTAATGTTGTTCTTCGCACTTGTCCATTGTTCCTTAGTCTACTGAACATCAGCCTTTCATCTCAGTACCCTGCGACGACTACTGCGATTGCGACTACCGTTGCCACCTGTCCAGCTATCACCCAAGACCTGCGCGCACCGGTGCTCTCCAGGAGATCCCATGGCTCTTCTTCTTCGGGTTCTCGGCTACCCTCAGCCACATGGTCGGGTGTGACGCATACGACGTGTGTCTCTGTCGTGCCGTCGGCAAGGTAAGCCGCGAACACGGATGGTACAGGCCGCTTGACGGAAACGTCATACGATTCGAAGCTGCCGGCGTCACGGTCCCGTTGATCGTATTTAATTGAATAAGTATCCATGAGCCTTGTGTGGTATCGCTCAAGAACACGTTCTCCTGGTGGCGGTCTATCATCACATGTCTCGTTCGAGAAGCCGAGAACTGGGGCTGCGTTGTTTCATTAGCAATCAGCGCTATCATAATGAAAGATGCAAACACTCACTCTTCACAATCAACGGGGCCAGTATTTCGCTGGGACAAGCATCTCTAATCCGATCGCTGTCGATGTCCTCACATTCCATGTCGTCCATGGAGACCCCAGAAGTCACAGATGGAAAAGATATTTCGCGCAATACATCCATGCACTCAGCACTCAGCACACCTTCGCAACCGTTCTCGCCTGGTCCCGTCGCTGAAGCATTGATGGCTTTGAACCGATGGAAGCAACCCATAGTTACGCTTGTCAACTCTGGATGGCTGATATAAGCAGTAGTCGAACTGGAACTGAACCCCCGGCGGTCGTTCACGGCGAGCGATATATACCAGTCTTCCTTGGATGTCATCTGAAACCCGGTCTGACCAGAGGAGTTGTACGTAGGCGTTGTAATAGGACACCATGGTGTGTTATCGTTGAGCTGGGCGAAACAGGACTGTAAGAGAGTGATTGCTATGAGTAAATAGGCGGGTAGGAAATTTGAAGTAGCCATCGTATTTGGCAAGAGGCCGTAGCTGCGGAAAAGAACGTATCAAAGTAAGCAACGTGACCATACTATATAGAGGGCATGTTAGCCATGATGTACTCCGGAGTAGTTGGCTATACTGCACAAGAGTCTCAGTTGCCCGCCTGAAGTGGTTAGGAATAGGTTGATTGGAAGCAGTATACCCGGTAGCGACTACTGCGCTGTACCCCATGTTCATTGTTTATCTTACACTAGAAGCGAACAGGCAGAGATCCGTGGTTGAAGAATAAGGCAAGCAACACGCCGCGCCGGATGACTGCCGGCTTGGCGCAGCTGCCCTGAAGACCTGCGGATAAGAGACAGAAAGCGCTTGAACATGTTATCATGGTGGTGGCAGTGCTAGAGTATGGGGTTTAATGACGTCGATTTTGTGGATTCGGTGTGACTGGAGTCGCATACAAATCTGCCTCAACGGGTAACGCGCGCGACTGAGAGGCTCAATTCCACTACATACCAAGCCCTTGGAGCTGTTGGATATTCAGATACCACAACATGGATACGACCGCTCTTGTTGCCCCAAATGGATAGCCTGTTAGGTACCTTACGACAGCGAAAAGCACTGAGTGCACATGCCTTCCGCAGAGACCTAAGCGCGCTCCTGCTATCGAAAGCCAGTGCGAGCTGCACGACGCGGGCAGCTTGATTCGAATAGTGCCCGGTGCCATTGATAGGATCCAACTAGTCGCTCTCCCCGCCTTACAGAATCGGCACGGTCACATCTCGCTCGCACGGTGTCTGAGAGACTAGATAAATTTACTTTGGAGACGTGAAATGTCGGTAAGAGTATGGATCTCGACGCGCCGCTTCACGCATTTCCTCAAAAGTTTGAATGAAGCGTCGTAAACGCGAACGTTCTTGAAGAATGGTGAGAAGCCTGGAAGAACTGCAGACATGAAGCGAAAATTGATACTACAACACCTCGCTACCTCCACGTTGGATTTCTCACGATAAGCCTCTCATTCGATTGGCATGCCGACGAGAGGGCGAAGAGATACCCAGAGTCTGTTCATGGGACTAAGCAGAATGGTTACCATACCATGGGAGTGTTTTGGAATCATTCATGGCCCACGTCGAAGATACTTTGCCTTGCTAGATCAGAGTCTGAAGCTCGGTCGATTCCGGCGTAGTCGTAGGTACCAGCTCTAACAATTGGACCGACACGGGGTTCAATGAGGAACACAAAACGCATCCGAAGCATGTTGCCAAATCTGTACATGCTAACTAAACTACGCAGGTAGAGACAGTTGCAGACGTGCTCAGGTAATGAAAATGGTGTTCCTGACAGGGTCGGTCGACATGCCCCACCATCCAATCCCCTCACTAGAGAAAAGTTTGCCGCAACACTGCCCCACCAAACCACCTCTTGCATACCAGCAAACTTCAAACCTCGTTATCTATCAATGTTTGTCATTATATACAATCACCATCAACATCTTTCCATCATTACTAAGCAACAACTGGCCTAATGGCCCAATGGCAAGGCGCTTGACTACGACTTCGTTCGATATCAAGAGATTCCAGGTTGTAAGTAGCTCTCAGAAGCTTCCTATTCGAATCGCAAAGCTGACACCCCCGCTGCGACCCCTGGTTAGGTCACATTCACAGCTCCAGCTGTCTTAGCATCCATCTTTTCGCATCGGTGGTTTAGTGGTAAAATTAGCCGTTGCCATCCGTCACAGGACAGTTTCGGCTAGCCCCGGGTTCGATTCCCGGCCGATGCATTCTTTTTTGGCGTTCTAGACGTCGTCGCGGTGTTGTGGTGGTGGTGGTGGTGGTGGGAGACGATGGTGGTCGAGTTGGGGGAGATGGAATATTTTTGAGGTTGGCGGAACACCATCACCAAGACCCTCCTGAACAACAAAGGTAGAATGTACGCGGGAGTCATGATTTATACTTGAGCTTATTATTCTGCTGCGCAATGCAGTCATTGCAAATGAGTTATCCTTTGGATGTCTTACATGTTCTGCTTCACGACCTCGCATGTCTCGTCGTGAGCTCTCGAGCTATGAAGTAAGATCTGGTTACTCACTGCGATGGTTACTATCAACCCACTCATGCTATCTCTGTACATCGTGAAATACTTTTACAAAATGCACCAGCCACTTTTTGCGAAGTCACTATCTTAAACCTCACTGCGCACAACATCACCGCGCCTGCAACGACAAGTGCTTTGCGCTCCTACTGCAGTTGCAGACGATGTCGAAATGTCGCCTTTGTTCGGAGTGCATGGAAGTTCTATCATTCCTAGCCTGCGCTGTTCACAGAGCGATCCATGGATTGGTGAAGAAGGTAAGAGAGACCCTGGTACATCGCTCCTGCAATCACTCGGTGATCAAGCGAGAAGTCTCAAACATTTCAGTAATCGCGAGCAGCCACTTCTCGCTTCGCACATGATCCAAGCCATACGATTACTCGCCTGAGCCAGTACCGCAACCGCAGGCAATCACTCAACAACTGCGCCGAACCATCATGAATCCGAACAAGAACCTCCCATGCCGCGAGCCAGCAACAGCGAATAAGACAAACCAAGTGAGCGACGTCCAACTGCGTACTTCCAGCATTCCGGCGACTAACCTTGTCAGACGCTGCAAGACTTGGGCTTCACAAACCCACTAAGAGCAGTCAGCAACAACGCCAAAGATGACGGCGAGCTCATATCAGCCAAAACACCAACTGACTCCAATATCGGCCACGCGAAAGGTTTCGGGGAAAGCATCGCCGAGGCGATGTCAACCGCGATGCAGCTCCCCATAGCAACTGCCAACTACCAGTTGAAGCAGGAAGTCAAGCGCTCGGCATCCAGTGAGCTCCTAAAGATCGATGATCTCAACATCTACCAAAGCGCATGCGCCGCATACAATTTGGGATTGGAAAGAGGTTGGAGCAAGGAGAGGCTGCTGGAGTCGGTCGAGGAGTGGAGGGTGTTTGAGGCGAATTCGAGGCGCAAGTAAGACAGGCGCTTGGTAGACATGGCCTGCGAGGCGCTTGAGAAGAGACTGTTAGGTTTGGGTGATTGAGGCAGATTTTTAGCACGCCGATAACAATGGCAGTAAAAGTTTGGGTTGTTAGCCTTGGAGATTTTTCTTTTGTGGTGCGTCAAAGTCCTGCTCTCAGGACAGGTCAACATGGAACTCCGTTGTCCGTCCCCAAGTTTTAGGAAGAGCTCGTGTGTCAAATTGATGACGTTGAAAAAAGGAAGAGATGGAAGTCATCAGCAGCGACAAGACACACTAGAGAAGCTTCATGGTATATTCTGCCTTTTTTGTCCACTTGATAATTGATAAACAAGACCTCAGTTGTGTATCCAGCGGTCCTTCGCTGCATCATTGTGTGGCCTTCCATCCGTCTCTTAGGCGTGCAAGGCAGCTAATATACAAGAGACGCGCGTAACTACTACCAGCCAAATCCGCGTGCATGATTCCATCCCACAGCCTCGTCCATCTTCGGTAGGAACTCTTGGGCTACATAAGTTTCTCCTACCACAGCCGTCTCCAGGACCTTGAAGTGCATCTTGACCATCTCTCTAGCAATGTCTATAACACCAGCCATGTGCTCGTCCTTGATAAGTAACCCGAACTTGTGATTGTAGCGCTCCCCGATGTCTGCCAGAGCCGCATTGATCTGTTCCTTGATGTCGGAGTCGAATATCTGCTTGTAGTCGCGTAGAATCTTGGTGGTATGGAACAATCGGCAAACGAAATCCGAAGCTTCGTTGTGATCCGTTGTTTGATCGAGAGTATCGGCGGCTCTACGGTCTCCATGTACGAATTCAGGTTGTGGGATATGGAAGAGGACGACATCTTCATGAATCGGACAAGTGTTGTCGTACTCCAGATGACTATGCAGACAATTGTTGCAGTAGACTCCGTGACAGGTATGCAAGTTGGGTTTTATGCGGCAGACTGTCTCTTGTGCTAGAATACCTGAATCAGCAATCGGAGAACTGGCAGAGGAGGATTATCTACTCTTACATGTGATAGTTCGCTCGCATAGCTCACAAAGTACGTTCGTCTCGATGCCCTGTTCAAGGAACGTATCGCGGTCCTTCAATGGCGCGCCCATGGTCGTCGTGCTTGCAATTCCGGAAGGTGTAAGTATTAAGGTCAGTAGTAGGCAGATGCTGTTTGTATCCCGAATGTCTTGGCAATAGAATGTTACTAGCGGTGAAGCCGCGGTATGGGTTTCGTGGTGAGTGTGAAATTAGCCCAATGCGGTAAGAGCGCGCAGATGGCTTTGCTCAACGCCAAATTGCTAAGAAGCAGCGGGAACCGTATAGGACACTATCGTGAGGCTTCGATACAGAAATATAGATGGAAATGGTAACGCCGCATGTACGACTACAGTCATCGGGCGTCTTCGACTTGCAAATAAGAAAGAGTACTCGGCTTTAGTACAGAGCGCGCAAAGCATGTGATAGAGCTGACCGAAAGTTTCCTGGACGTTCTACTCCGCCGACTCTGCCATCAACATATCATCATCACCACCTTCCTCATCTGACGCTTCTTCATCCGTCGATTCAGAGCCTTCAAGCTGCCATTGTAGCGGGCCCTCCACACTGTACAAATAACCTCTAAGCGGCATTCCTATGAGCGGAACAAAGCTTCCATTTCGATAGTGTTCTTGCACCATGTCTTTAGCCATGTACCCAATTGTGGGCCAATGACCACTGAATATATAGAGACCCTGAATGCTATTGTAGCGCGCGGGGGGGCCAGCCAGCGCGTCGGTGATCGCCTCTTCAATATCAGAGTCGTAGATGATCTGATCGCGTTCGTAGAACTTGTACATGGCACGCCAAATAGTCTTGACGAACTTCTTGGCATCGTCCCAGGTCTGGATCTGGTGGGCCATTGTGAGATCTTGGCGTTCGCGTCGTGCTCCTTCGACAAATTCAGGCTTGTCGATTTCGGAGAATAGCTGTTCTCTGCAGAGAGGACAGGTGTTGTAGTTGTCCTGGCCGGATTCTATCCATTGTTTCAGACATTCTATCCCAAATGTGTGTTGGCAATTTGTTGTCTTGATGGATGCTGCATGATGTTCCGCATCGAATGGCTCTGTACAGATAGCGCAATTGTCGTGGACGACGAGGTTGTCCCTGAGAAATCTGCGGCGCGAAGGTATTTTTGTGGTTCGTGGTGTCATCATGTCGCCGTGTGGAGATACACTATCGTTGGGAGCGGATGTAGTGCGATGGAAGTTTTGTGGATTGAGAACAATACACCAGCCGACTTATAGACGGCAGTGGCGACGGGAGCATAAATGTTGAATAAGTGCGGGGGACACTAAGCCGGATGAACGCTGGTGTGGCACTAGTAATGACTTTGCGCATTACCCACCAGGTGTCTGTTTTGGATTGTTCATCTTGTAATTCAATGAGTGTGTAGTGGTAGCGAAGGCAGCTGAACCATGAGTGCGAATCCCGTGATGCATGTTGCCCAAATTACCACCGCTGCTTCGTTCAACTGACGTTCACATGACAGGGACGACATCATGACAAGCATGGCAGCTGCTAGTTCAAAAAGCTGAAGCTCCAGTGAACGAGGGTTTCAGCGGCGACGGTCATCTTCCCATAGACGGTTTGGCGGCAAAGAGAAGACAGTCTTCAGCTCCCTATGTTCAAGAACGTCGATCGAAGGGCGTGATGGATGTAAAAGCGATGAGCCTTTCCTTGCCGGCATAGCGGGTCGGAGAGTTGGAGAGTCGACTGGAGCATCCCACCCATGTGTCCCTCTGGACACTGGAGCAGCGTGTACAAGAGTGACATCGGCCACAGGCTTGACATCCGGCGATGATGGATGTAGCAGTGTCGACTGCTTCCGCGGCTTGCGTCTATCTCCATGGCTACGAGGCGATATTGATCTGGCGCCGGTAGTCATCGCGCTGCTCCTCCTTCGCACAGACGTGACTCCACGCTCTGACTCAAGCCAAATCGTATCCTTGAACGGAGCGATTATAGAGTCGATCGAAGCCCGTCGTAGGAACTCTTGCTTGAGATTCGGATTCCAGCTCGATCTGCGCTTCAACGATGTGCGATGACGCACATGGCCACGTTTGCGTTCCGCGAGGTGTCTCGTTGGCGCTTTTGGTGGTACTGTCGTTTTGGGCGATAGCGGTGGCGAGGGAGGATATGCGTCGAGATTGGGTTCTTCATCTTCTTTGTTGAATGTCGCGCCTTGGAAGTACGAGGCTTCGGTTTCTTGCTCGTGGCGGGTAGGTGTTATGGATGGGCTACCTTCTCCGCGCTTCGCTATTCCTCCTCTCCGTCCATTCGGCCTAGACCCGCTAAGTTCTCGGGAAAGGGTCTGATAAACGAGGTCGCCGTTGTGCATTTCGAGAACTGTAGTGTTTTCTGTTGTAAAGATAGGTTGCGCCTGATAAGATTAGGTAGACCAAGCGTAGAGTGATTGCGCCAAAGATATTTACGTCTTCAGTGTCTGGTGTAAAGTATGCGTTTGGGGCTGACAAGTACAGGGAGTCCAAGAAGGCGGTGCAGAGGCGGTGACTCGAGTATTCTATATAATGACATGGTTGGAGCACGGTTGTTGTTGTGAAGCGCGGGCTTTCGCCCATGGTTGGTGCACTGTATGTACAACCGTTGGTACAGTCAATTACCGACACGCACGCACTCCAAACTTTGAATACCGAAAAACAAAAACTTGTTCGACTGAGAAGCCGACCTTTTTCGTTAAAACGGCTTTAGTATGATTTATGATGTCTTTATTCCGGTTCATGGGGAAGATGAGGCCTTCAAACGTTGCCTGTGTTGCCTGGATGGTATATTTACTCGCGCGCGGGTACGTCAACCGAGTCAAACCCATGGTCGGGGCATGACGTTGCTTCTGTAGGGCTGACCGATTGGTAGACCCTGCTTGCAATATTGACGCCCTGTGCGGGTCTGGAACGGACCGATAAGTGCGCCCGATTATTGTGCCCTGCATGTTTTGTTCTCTCAGCGGTTCTCGTGGTGTTAGTCTCTGTAATGAAGCGTTCAAAATACGTCCATCTCCTGCGTAACAAGCTTCCCGAACCAGTCGACCAATTCGTCCCCGTCGCCTTCATTCTTGCCGCTGAAGAAGTCCGTCATGCGCATGTCGTTGCCGTCATCTTCGGCAGGCCACTCGATAGCGACATCTGCTTTCTTCCCTTCCAGTAGCTCTTTCGCGGTCCCCCATGAAAAGCGCGTCTCGCTGCCCCAGCCAAAGAAAGGGTCCATATTCTGCTTCAGCCAGGTCGTTGTCCGCGCGTCTGATGGGTACCCAGAGCCCCAGGCCACCTTGACTTCGGCATCTTCGTTCGCCGCTGTGTTGCGCTTCTGGTAGGGCTCGTAGCAAACATCTAGGGCCGCGTCACGGGTGACTTTGGCGCATACCGATGCTGCACTGACGACGGGGTATAGGCTGTCAGCCTTCTTCGCGACTGTGATCCGTATCGTAGGCCAGATCCTCTCTAGTTTCTTCTGATAGATTTCTGGTCTGCCAATCGTGTCGATGTAGATCTCCTTGACATTGACGCCTTGTGCCAGCACTCCTTTGATCAGGTCAATTGTCGCATCCATGGCTTGCGCATTGAGATTGTACACATTTGGGGACAGCATGTGCGCTGAGATGTCTTGCGCAGACATTACACGTGTTGCCCATCCACCAGCTTCGTAGAGATCTGAGCCTTGGGTGCACAGTTTGCGCATCAGGTTCGAGCGGACTTCGGGAGTCAAGACTTTGGAGTCGTCAAAGTGGTGCGTTTCAGCGAGAAGCGAATGGTGAAGTTCAATTGGTAGGTAGAAGAGGGCGTACACCATCGGGCCTGCATATGTTAGTGACGGAGAAGACTTTCACGGAGGACTAGTACCTAAGACAGGACCTCGCCCAGCTTCATCGACACCTAGCACAACTTCTCCAGACATGTCGTCTGCAATCTGCTTGGGTATGGGCGAGAAGTGCGAATATGACTTCCCGCCAAGAATGCCTGATTTGGATATTGAAGGTGCCATGAAGACATCTGAAGGCGGTGTTTCCAGCTCAATGTCTTGGCTGTCCATCTGAACATTTTCTTGTGGTTCTGCCATGTTTTCCGTCGTTTGTCTTAGCGGCTGAGATGGTATGGGCGATGTTGTGTGTCGTTGTAGTAAAGTGGTCGATTGAGTGAGACGCGACGCGTTCCTCGGCGCTTTCGACGCGACTCACCGATACCTACGCTAGCGATGTGAATGGCACCGGCACACCTGCACCACGGCAAAGCCCACACACACCTTATGCGTAGGGCACGGCACAGTGCATGCAGTTTTCTACGCTTTCCCCCCAAACCTACTGTAAAGGGTTGGTTCGCACCGGCAAGTCATGTTCGTACCACCACACAAAGCGTTTCGCTGCATGAGTGCCGCCGAGGCCAGCACATTTCTTCCCGGGGGCCGCATGCAGTGTGTGATGGGTGTGGTACTTCCTAGCACAACACGCTAAAGTTGCGAACCTTGGAATTCTCACACACAGGATTCCATTAAACTTATTTCACGGTATTGTAGATCGTCTTGCTCACGCCGCTTCTGAGACTCTCTTGTACCCAATTCGGCAATCCCCTCAGCATGCTGACCTTGCCCGCAGCGCTTGGTAAGATGATCTGGCCACCGCTGCAGCTCATGATTTGTCCGACAATTGCATCGGCAACAGCAGTCGGCTCAAGAATGGGAGAACCTCGCCTCTTGAGTTCCTGCTCCACAGGTTCTATCAAAGGTGTACGGACCCAATTAGGGTGTATGGAAGTAGTGAGCACGTTCGGGCTGTTGTAGTGGTGCTTGAGTTCCTGGGTGAGCGCTGTCGTGGGTCAGCATGCTGCAAGTAAGAGATGGGACAAGAAACATACCTTCATGGAAGCTTAGAATAGCCGCCTTCGTCGCTGTATAATCTGCCAGGCCAGCGACACCAATGAAGCTTGCCGTGCTTGCGATCGTCACGATATGGCCCTTGTTGTGTCGGAGCATGTCTGGCAGGAAAGCTTTGGTGGTGTACCAGTTGCTGAGAACGTTTACATCGAAGATCTTTCGGAGGTACGCGTCGGATGTGGTGAGGATTGTATGGGATGCCAGAAGCCCTGCATTATTGATGAGGATCGTAGGTGCCCCCATTGTTTCTTTGACCTTCTCTGCCACCGAGTAGACTTCGGAAGAGTCAGTGATGTCGCATTTGAAGAATTTGAGGCCGGCATCTGTCGTCCTCGTTAGTATCAGGCGATCCAGCGTAGTGGGTATTGATCTGTCTTACAGCCTTGCAAACTTGGAGGAAGTTGCTGAATGTCTAGCACTGCCACTCTGATTCCTTTATTGATCAACCTCTTCACTACCAGCTCTCCAATACCACTGCAGCCTCCTGTGATGACTGCGACCTCCCGGCTCCAGTTCCATCTCGCCTTTTCACTTCGCAATCTGCCTGCGTTCAGGGCAACATGATTAAGCTGCTTGTTGACGACTCTTGCTGTTCCAGCTATCAGGCACCACTTCAGAGCCTTCACGAGCTGTGCATAGCGAAACGGGTCCCGAAGTGCGCGGATCCGAGTAGTAAGTTGGCTGCGAAGTTGTGTAGGTCCTTTCGTCAATACCCAGAGTAGAGCGGCCGTGACTAGAGGGTTGAGCGTGATATGACCAGCAGTTGTTCCAGCGATATTAAGAATGTGGTGTAGTAATTTCGACATATCTACGTTCGCATCAAAAGTATAGAGGTCGAAGTGCGCAACCTGAGCATTCCATCGGATATGTCACTTATGCATGATCTCCAGGTCTATATAGCGCGCTGCGGGTCCGTTCGCGTCGAAAGAGGGGACCATACGACGCCAACAGTGTCTAGTTGAGCGGGCTTGGAGCCGACGACGTCGCAGCCTCGGCTTCGCATTCCCTTCTGCTTGTGCAACTAGACACTGTAAGAAAGTTTCGCTCGAAAAGAGGAGTATCCAGTAAGCTCTAGGGAAAAGATTGCAAGACTCTTTACTTGTAGGCAGCCTCACAGGGCACTTATGAAAGTGTATAAGTGCTTCAGTGTGTAGGCATGCGTACCAACAAAGCCACCAAGATTGCTAAGGTAAACTGCGCGTTTACTATCTGCAATAGAACATGACGTGCCTCGCAAAATCTTTCTTTTTCTTCATTGCAACCTGGATGATCCTTCGAAGAACGCAGCCACTTCGGTGACAATGCACACCCCATTGTGCAGTCACTGGCACCCTGCATCAGTCTCCGAGGCTATTCTGCAGGAATGCTGTGGAGGGTGGCAAATAGGAATGGCAGGCGCAGCCGTGCATTGCTTCTCGGGTGCAGAGGTCCGATGGCGTGGCTACCAGATTGGTCGATGGCACACGTGTTGCTGCTCCCTGCTTCGACAAACTTTATGAGGAAGTCGCAAGTAACAGCCTGCCAACCAGACATGAATTGCGCTCGATGCCTCTGGATGCGTTACTTCCTCTGGCCATGTTACATACAGGAGCACCGCTTTGGCCTGCTTTTAGCCGGCTCCACGAAGCCCACCCTGATCCCCCTGCTGATTGGCGGATGCAAGGTGCGTGCGGGGAAATGCCTGGTTCTCTATTCTGAAACGAGAGCGGTCAGGCCCATCTAACCGCATCGGCTGCATGGGAGAACGAGGCGCCTCATTTATAAAGATCGCCATTGTCGCAAAGAGATGGGCATTTGGTAAGATGCAAAGCCAGGGAATCGAACAAGTGCCGGTCGACGTCGCCTACTGACAAATAAACCAAACCTTCGGTAGCAGAAGACAGTGAGAGACACACACTCAGTCCTCCTGCACGACATGTCTACCAGAATGGCGCGGCACGCGTAGCGGCATACGTCGGTGTTTGAGACGATCGATGCCCCGCCAGTCCTTCGGCCGTGGAAGCTACACTGCCCCTCCTAGTACTTATTGCGGTACTACTAGATGCTGCAACCCTGACTGGCTGGGGCACTCTTGGGCGAAGAGCTGCCGGATGACGTGAGGGCATTGCGCACCGCCCGCCGGCATCTCCATCCCACTCCAGGGGCCTGGAACGCGCTGTAGAGAAGCATTCAGAACCACGTTTGCCGCGCATATCGAGTTAGAGTGGGCCGCGTTGGATAGCGGAAGGCTGTGACAGCTGCATCAAAGGCTGGGACGACACACAGAAGGTGGGTTGCCAGATTCGATTAGCACCGCGTTCCGAAGCCATGACTACAACGTATGTTTAATCCTGGGATGCGATGCGCGTTTGCGTGCTAGATAGTCTCTACAGTAGCTGCGCATGTACAGTAGACAGCTGCGGGAGAACAGGAGGGTCCAAAACCTCAATTGGGCAGAGTACGCGACCAGCAGATGGGCAATATGTGCGGAATCCCACCCAGCACTAGTTGAGCGCCACATCGTCCCCTGATCAGTGATGGACCCTGAGCTTTCGAGTCCAACGCTCCACTCCCGCTCCATCTATAGACTTGCTCTTTCGGCGCCTAAAGTTGAACTTGTGGCAAAGAGTTGCAGGGCCTTCAGCTCAACTGTAAGCTTAACTTAATCTTTATTACTTCTAGATTCTAACTAGTAACTAGCACAGCTTCTTCGCTATAATAGCGTTATGCTAATCTATTGTAGACACTATCTTTATAATCTCCTCCTACTTCTTTACCTTTTTATTCTACTCTTTTTTAATGTAGCACCTGCGTTAGAAGGTTTAAAGCTTATTAGCCTTCTTATAGAAGCTGTAGGTAGCTTAAGCGCAGATAAATAGGCGCTTCTTAGCAATAAACTAGCAGTCTAGCTTTATAGCCTATAAGATTATATTATCGCTAAGGTATATAACATAGTTAGGGTAGGTAGAGCCCTAGAAGGTTAGCTTTAAACAAGGGAAGAGAGCGTCTGCTTACAATTAGATAGAAGGCGTTATTTATAATAAGTTATAGCTTCTTAAGCTAGAATGCGAGATTTGTAAACATAGTTATTATAGTAGCGTGTTTAAGATAAGGGCTTAGAATAAGATAGTTTAAGAAGGATGCTAGCAATTAAGTCTTTTTAAGTTTAGAATAATGCTAGGTAGCTAGAGACAAAGTTTACTAAGATGTATCCTTATCTAATAGGCTTCTATGCACGTAATCTCAATGGACCATGGAAAGAGCGAGCTTCAGGCGACTGTTGGCCAGCCCTTCCAGACTTGCTCCGACTGTCCTTACCCACGACTCGCGCTGTGCATAGGCCATCGAGTGCGCGCTGCTGCGACCCGCACAACATCGACTTCCGTTCCTGCCTACGTACCGAGCCTCCAACCACGCTTCCGTCCCGACTCTGTACGACCACGAACAGCGAGCAGCGAGGGCAGCAAGGGCATTTGCCCCGTGTACGAATTATCTGTATGTAAATGCGCCTTCCGTGTCTCCAGTGGAGCGGTCGCGGCTGCCATGTGAACTTCACACCGCCCGCCAATCCCCCACACCAGCTCCCAGGGCAGTCGCGCTGACGTGACGGCAGTGTATTTCTAGTATTCTAGCCAGTATGGCCTACCAAGGCATGGGAGGAGGCAACGGCCTCAGATCCCCGCGCGAAGAGCAGTCGTTCCTTTCCCTGAATCGCGCCGCTCAGAACGGCGATGGCCGCGCGACCCTGCAGCGCCGCTTCACGACCAACAACATTCCGACCATGAGCACGCCTCTGTCGCCAATCGGACAACAACGTAGACAAGCGGCAGAGCCGGCTGAGTTTACTACAGCGGTATGTGGGCACTCTCGTACAAATAAGAGGCGGATGTTCAGTGCTGGGGCTCCGCGGCGCTTCGCATGTCGGTACTCAGCAGCTACCGCAGCCATGTCGGATATACTTGAAACGACATAGTGTGGCTGCGCTGGTAGAGCTGCTGTCCGTTAGCTATTATACATACGCGGTGACCAAGAATTCGGGCTAACGACCAACCCCAACAGACGTACCACAAGCTCCAAGTTGTAAGTCTACTTCACTGCGTCTTTCTGCGTCTCTCACTTGTCACCCCACAAATCCTACTGGAAGTAAGATTGCGGTCGTTGCCAAGGCTACCTGTCCAGGCGACGCCCATATTGACCAACAATTGTCTTTTGCCTTTGTCTCTCCTACACCACCACAAAAGTCCGCCTCTCCAAAAGCTAGCTTTGCTATCATTACTCCTGTACATTTCTCTGTCTCATTTGAGACTCTATTCCCTATCTATATCCTCATCTCTTCCCATCTGCATCGTCCTACGTCACGAGCGACGCTGTTGCCTCACGACAAACGCGCTCAAACACCCTCGCCGGTCCGTGTGACCAGCTAACAGCTTGCTAGCTTGAGAGAAAACGGATTGAACACGAGTATCTCAAAGAAGCAAAACGGCGATTCGACGCTGAGATGGAGCTCCTCAACTTGCAAGCCCAGCACGGCGAGAGTGACAACAACCGATTCTCGGCTGATGCTCACTATGGCGGACCTGCGCATAGCCAGCCCACTACCCCGCCCGAGTACAACGAGAGCAACGGGTTCCCGTCCGCTTTGTCGCGTCCGAACCGTTTCAGCATGTCCAGTATCAACCCGGGTATGACCACACGCGGTAGCCGTGCCAACTCCCAGGTCACTTCCCCTCCCGCCAACTTCCAGAGCAACGGCAACTTGCCTTCGCACTCGATGCCAGGATCTCGTCGCAACTCTGAGGAGGAGCACGACGACTTCGAGAACGACGACTTTACTCCTCTGAGTCCGGCCGCGCGCAAGTAAGTTGGCCCAGCACAACATCACCTCAAACACTGCTAACCCTAATAGGAACAACCGTATGTCCATGCCCGTTACTAGGATGGACTACGGCAACCGCGGAAATCTTCCAGATGTGGGCTCGCTTCTTGGTCATATTGATACTGCCGGCTTCTTGTTTGGTGATGACGCATCAGCTGCCACTCAAGATCAGAAGGCTTTCCTCCAGATGGGTAATACCAAGGACGACTTCCCAGTCTTGGTCCGCCGCGATGGTGCTGGTAATGGTACGAACTTCTCTGCCTCTTCCGCTGCACTTGATTTGGCCCTTTCACAGTCCCCTGGCCCGGATGCTCAGTCCACTGCTTGGAACGGACACCGTCATCGTCAGGCTCAACAGTCCCTTCCTGCTAACACTTTCCGTAAAGCTTCTCAGATGGACGACTATGAGTCCGGTCGATCCAACGGCGCCGAGACCACCCCCAAGAACAACCGTCGCTCGGTGGAGTTCAGCTTCAGCCCCAAGAACAACGAGTCCAAGCGCTCTAGCTACGGCGGCCCGACCAACGGCATGCCCAAGTTGACTCAGTCATACTCCACGAACGATGTTCCGACTCTGAAGAACGGAGCGAATGGCGCCAATAGTATCGGTTTCACGCACTCGCAGCAGTTCCACAACCACAACGCTAGCCTTGGTCGCATTCCGTCAAATGTCCTGTCCAACCGTAACAGCCGCGATCTCTCACTCGGTAATCGCGAGTCTGAGTACCGTTCTCCGCAGTCAGGCTTGCACGCAAGCGCTGCACCTTTCGGTCCTGGTATGACTTCAGCTGCCAACGGCAACGGTGGAGTTTCGTCGACTGTCGGTTCGCCAGCCATGTCACAGTACTCGAGTGTTTCCGCTGCCAACCCAGGATACTATGGATACGGCATGAACATGCTGAACGGTGCTTTGAATGGTCTCAACCTTGGAGGTGGGCCTGGTCCTCAGTACGGTGGACCCACTGCTTACGCTCCCACCAACATGTACGGTAACGGACCGTCGCAGTACAACCCATACGCTACCTATGGCCCAGGTGGTCGCGTACAGGACAGCCAGGCTCGCGTCATTCAGAGCCGTCGTCTGCAGAACGACGCCAACAAGTACATGAACTACGATCTGAAGACCATGCCCCGTCACGAGATCTACAGTTTGTGCAAGGATCAGCATGGTTGTCGGTTCCTGCAGAAGAAGCTCGAGGAGCGCAACGCGGAGAACATCCAGATCATCTTTGATGAGACTGCCCCTCACGTCGTTGAACTCATGACTGATCCTTTCGGCAACTACCTCTGCCAGAAGTTGCTGGAGTACTGCAACGATGAGCAGCGCAACACTCTTGTCCGCAACGCTTCTCCTGCGATGGTTCAGATTGCGTTCAACCAGCACGGCACTCGCGCTTTGCAGAAGATGATCGAGTTCATCTCCACCGATGATCAGGTATGTTACGAGCCCCGGTATTCTCCCACTTCCGAGCTAATCCGTCCCCAGACTCAGATGATCATTCACGCATTGTCTGGACAGGTCGTCGATCTCATCCAGGATCTGAACGGCAACCATGTCATTCAGAAGTGCCTCAACCACCTCAAGTCCGTGGAGGCCCAGTTCATCTTCGATGCTGTAGGCGAGAACTGCATCACTGTTGGTACCCACCGCCATGGATGCTGTGTTCTTCAGCGTTGCATTGATCACGCCGTCGGTTTTCAGAAGGTCGATTTGATCCGCAAGATCACTGCCCACAGCTTCCACCTTGTGCAGGATCCATTTGGCAACTACGTGGTTCAGTACATCCTCGACCTCAACGATGCGGCCTTCACGACCCCCATGTGCCAGGGCTTCCAGACCAAGATATGCGAGTTGTCCAAGCAGAAGTTCAGTTCCAACGTCATCGAGAAGTGCATCCGCTGCGCTGAGCCGCACGTCAAGGGCATGATGATTGAGGAGTTGCTTGACGTCGAGCAGCTTGAGCAGCTCATGCGCGACTCTTACGGCAACTACGTTATCCAGACTGCACTCGAGTTTGCTCCCGCCGAGCTGTGCGTGCACCTGATCGAGGCCATGCGTCCGATTCTGCCATCCATCCGCCAGACCCCTTACGGTCGTCGCATCATGAGCAAGGTCAGCGAGCGCGAGAGCCGCCTGGCTGCCTACACTGGCCGTACTTCATCTGGCCAAGGTTCACCCGGCGCTGGGCCAGGTTCTGAGTCGAGCTCGGTCTTCAACCAGGCCCCGGCACAGTACCAGCCTCCCAACGGTTCCTCTGGCTACCAGACACCCATGTATACTGCGACCGCAAACTATGGTCCGAGCATCATTTCACCTCAACCTCACCGCCAGCCGCACCGCTTGAGCAACCCGCACCACATGCACAACCCGGTTCAGGACAACCGTCAGGGCTACGCTGGCTACCAGCAGCAGCACCAGTACGGCATCCCTCAGACCAACGGCGGCAACGGCAGCTGGTTCTAGAAGAGCCAAGCGGTCAACGAGGTTATGATTTGACGAGCTACGGTCTGTCCAAAAGCACATCACTACGCAACATGCTTACCAGTAGAGTACACTGGTGTTGGCGTTGTCATTTTGATGGTTTGATCTTTCTTCCATGTATCGGTCCTGTCTGTCTGATTGGGCGGATCGATCTTGTATAGTACGACTACACGAGCATCATCGCGCGGCCTCGGCAGCATTCGGCATATTCGGCGTACGGATCTGGGCTACACGGCGTTCTTCCCTTGCCCCTTCATTGATTGTATTCTATCCCTTCATTTTCCCCAGCCATCACTTGTCTTCACGATACGGCACCTTGGTGCACTAAAAGGAACGTTTCAGCATGAGCACGAAAACGAACAGCACGAGCACTGTCGCCGTATGGGCGGCCTCTTCATTTTCACCTACCTCTTGCAATGGCACTTGCCGTGAGCCTGGAGCTAGGTGGCAAGTCTATGTACATGAATACAGGATCATATTCCAAACTTGGTATGCACTTGCGTGATGTTGTACTATCGTCGAGGTGACTGGAAACAACAAAGACGTGACAGTGACGATGTTGCAATGAATTGTGGCCAAGGTTGCATCGATGTGACGAGGGGTCCAGCGGAGCGACTGCCGTGTGACATGTGAGGCGATGACGCGCTTTGAACTTCGGCTCGGGACCAGCCATTTGAAACATGCACCTGCCCAGTCGCTCCTAGACACTTACAAACCACGCCGAGCACCACCAGTAAACCTCTCGCGACGTCCAAAGCATTTTAATACGACAAGACGACCGCCTGACGCTCTCACACTTCTTAACCGTCATCCGGCACCACAACCGCAGCCCCAAGTCGCCCAAGACATAATGCGCTTCGCCATCTTCTCCTTCCTCGTTGCGCTCCTCGCTGCCTTCGTCATGGCAAGCGCACCCCACCGCTCTGTCATCATCAGCTGGCCCAACGACACACCCGACGACATTGTCGAGCAGAGCAAGGAGGCTATCCGACAGGCCAAGGGTACGAGGCATGCGATACCGGTAGAGGACATATGCTAACAAAGTTCCAGGCGTCATTACCCACGAGTACAACATCATCAAGGGCTTCGCTGCCACGGCCCCCGCTGCCGCGCTCGACATGGTGTCGACGCTGAGCGACGTGTACAAGTGCGAGATCGAGGAGGATGGCATCGTTACCACGCAGAACAACAAGGAGTAGGCCGGATCGGGAAGGCCGAGGGCAACAAATTGGAAGGAACGGTCCTTTAGTTAATTGTGCTTATGATTATACGACTGGAGTCTGGAGTCTACTCAAGGATCGCACAGGGTGGAGTCGGATGAGAATGTCAACTAGACAACCCATCAGTATTTAGATTTATGTAGAACATATTAAACCCATCATCGACATTGACTGTGGGCAACATCAACGCACTCAATAGCCAAATTTATCACTACTGCAGATTGCTGCTACGCTCGAGACTGTTGTGATCACCGTAGGGTAAGGTGGTGGAACCCTGCAGCGGCTCTTTCCCCGCGGGTGTGGCCTGCCCGTGCACGTCGTCTCAGAACAGCGGCGGCTTTATGCGCGTCATGTTCCGTCTGTCAAAAGGCAATTAGGGAATGTCAGGCTGATGCCCCTCACTCGCCGCCCATCGCACGACTCTACGCCTCGCTACACACCGATTCAAGACGTCGCCGCGGGCATGTGCTGCATTCCGGCTTAGCGTTCGGGCTCCCAACCTCACCGACGCGCGCGACACGTCCTCGAGCAAGGACTCAGCCTGTGCATGGTGGAGCACGTACACTTCACCGCAAAACCACAGACACCGAGATGCATGACTGTTATTCACTCTACTCGCACCGCATAACAGCATTGACAGACCGACACGCGGGTACCAGGCCCCGCGACACTCCACCATGGACGACTTCAAGCCCGAGCTGCTCAAGGCTCTCCTCGACTGGGTACGTCTCCACGTGCCGCCTCCTACACGTCCGGGCGGAATAGCTGACATTCGCGTCTAGGTCAACACCTTCGACCTCCCCCACAGAATCACGTCGCTGAGCCAGCTCGAAGACGGCCAGATACTGTGGCAGATCCTCGCCGACATCGACGCCGACTACTTCAACGAGTCACTCCCAAATTTCGAAGAGAACCACCGCCGCCAATCAGACAATTGGATACCGCGATGGCAGAACCTCAAATATATCGAGCGCACAACCTCGACCTACATACGCGAAGAATGCGAGCAGCTGCCCGTGCTCACCAAGCGCATGATACCAGATCTCAAGGCAGGCGCGAGGGATGGATCAACAATGCTGGTTGCAAAGCTCACCATGGCTGTGCTACTGGCAGCATGCTTCTCGCCGCGCAGCAACCAGCGCATGCTGCAGGTTATGCCCAAGCTGGGCCAGAAGACGGCCGAGACGATTGCCGAAGCCATACAAGAGATGCAGGCCTTGGACCAACGCATGTCGGAACTAGGCGTCGATGCCGAGCTGACTTCAGAGCCAGTTCTCTCAGGGTATAGAACGCCCACACGAGCAATATCGGGCCAGCCACCTCCGGCAGGCAACGAGTTGGAGCAGGAGGCACAACTGTTCGAGGCGAACAAGGACAGGCAAGCACTCAAGGCGCAAGTTGGAAAATTACTTGAGGAGCTCAAGACCTCACGGGAACGCATATCCAAGCTCGAAGAGGAAGTCGCAGAAGCGACTGCCTATCTCGACGTTCGGGCCGGCCAGGCACAACGCGCTCAATCGGACGATGTCGAAAACTTACGGAACGACTTGCTGCGCGACAGACAGTACATCGACCAGCTCGAACAAGACCTCGCACATACGAGAGAGATCATGGAAAGCCAGAAGCGACGTCTCGATCGACTAGAGGGCGAGGAAGGATCCAAACAGGACTTGCGAGATCAGCTGCAAGTCGTCAAGGCCGAACGCGACGAGCTGAGCCAGAAAGCCAAGGCAAACGAGAACCTGAAGAAGAAGATCGAGTCTCTGACCAAGGAAACCAAACAACTAGAGACGCTACGCGAAGACTACCAACAAGCTCGTGAACGGTTAGCTCAGCTCGAAGGCGTCGAGGAGCGCATCGATATCCTGCAGAACATCATCAAAGAGAACGGTCAGACGCTTGCCAACGGAGAGCAGGCCATCTTTGAAGAAAAGGGCAAGCGCACCCGAATCGAACATGAAAACCTTCTCCTTATGAAACAGTTGGAGCAGACTCGCGAGCTACAATACAAGGCAGAAGATGCCAAGCAGGAGCTCGAAGAACGGATACGGGAACTAGAATCATCCAATCATGCTGATCGTGGCGGAAGCCTGGAAGACGAGCTTGAACAAGACGAAAACGCCAACCAGGACACCGACACGAAGCCCGCGTCTGATGGAAGGGTGAGCGCAGATGCGATTGCTCTACAACAACGGGTCGATATCTTAAACGTCCGTTTGAAGTCGCTAGAAAGCGAAACGCTCAAGCAGATGCAGGAGAATTTGGGTCTACGGTCTGATATGATGACGGAAAAGGACGAGAACAGCCAGAAGTAAGTGACTGCTTCATATTGATCGGGCATTACTAACCACACGTCCGCAGACCCTTCCTGGAACAGAACGAAAAGCTACAGACTGCTCAAACCGAGCTGGAAGAACTTCGTCGCCGGTTACGAGAACAAGACCTGCAAATGGCGGAACTTCGCAACGAACTCAACAGGAGTATGTATTCCGATTCATCTATGTGATTGTGCTAACTCTGCTAGAATCTGACATCGACGACGATACGCGCACAGCTGCTGTCCAAAAGGAACACGAGCGCCTACTGGTACTGCAAGAGAGGACCAACGACAGACTACGGGAGCTCGAAGTTGCGAACGCGGAGAAGCAGGGTCTCTTACGAGCAGCGTTGCTCGATCGCCAAAACCTACCGCCAGAGCTTCTTGAGCTCAAGAGAGTCGAAACGATACGGGAGATGCGTGAACGGATAGAGTCTGTCATCAAGGCCCCAGCAGAAGTACAACCGCAAGTGCTAGATACCACGAGTTCGGAGATCGCCGAGACTGTGCTATCCTCCGAAGCAGCTCTGGACAAAGCAAAGAAGGTAAGTAACAAACAGATCTCTCATAGCAAGTCGCCTTCTTCCGCGTTCGACGCAGCGGTTTCGGCAATGAAGAAACATCAGCTTGAACCTTCGTTCACTGCGGCTACTCTTGTCTCGCCGGCTTCGCCAAATCGAACCCATCTCGGAAAGGATAAGTCGCTGTCGGACATGTCTACTTCGACAGCTGGGACGGGGCAAACTACATGGGGCCGCATGGCGCAGCTAGTCTCGCCAAAGCGGAGGACCAAGTCGACCATGGGCGGCACCGAGTACTACACGATGCAATCGTCGAATGACTGTGCGGCAAGTTTGTCCTTGGCCTGGCTGCCAGAGTATACTTATCCAACCGACTACCTCTCCATTTTCATACCCTCTACTCATCTCCTCGCGCCCATGCTAACCCGTAACCGCAGGACCTCCAAGATCAACTCACAACCAACAGCACACTTCGCGAGCAACTCGAGCTCGCAAAGAAGGAGACGTCAGAGAAGGGCTCGGTATGTCGCGTTCCCTCCCTCTCCAGAACAGCGACGTGGCAACCTTGGATATGGTAGTAACAAGTGCTCCAACAAACAGGTGGAACTCCAACAAGAAGTCGAAAACCTGCGCCGCGAAAACGCACTGGTCAAGTCCATGTGGTACGACATGAACCAGCGCCTCCTCAGCAACACCGTCATCCTGCAAAGACGCAGCGAAGCACCCAAAGGCTGGCTCGGAAAACAAAGAGCCGCTGTCGGCGGCTCCAGCGTCTTAGTACGTTAGCTCCCCTCTTCCTGTAAACACGTCTTTTGTGTATGTATTTCCAAGGGCTGACTGGGTACAGGGCCGGAGGTAGCCGGAGCCGTGACCGCGTCGCCTTCTCTGCGGCCGACGCCCTCGTCGGTGGGCAACAGCTACGCTGCAGCAGGCTCGTCGGATGGCGTGCTCGTTTCTTTTCTCTTCATTACGCATTTTGTAGGGCCGCGGAATCGGGTTTGGTTCAGCATAGCGCAGGTTTGGTGGCATTTGTATTGCGTGAGGATGTATAGACGTATTGTCTTTTGTCACTTATACCCCCTTTTATTCCTTTGCAGTAGTTTGTAGAGAATCAAATATACTAGATCAAATGGACGGCTGAGCGTTTGGGTGGTGTTGTTGAGATGTCGAGTAAAGAGCGTCATGTCATTGAGGGAATAGATACATGTACATTGGTATTTGAAATGAAAAAAAAGGTTCAAGCAACATTGAGAAACGGTGCGTTTGGTGGATGACGGCGGTATGGACATGGATTATGAAGACGTTATCCGACAGAAGTGATACACTAGGTAAACCCAACACACAAACAACATCGAGAGTGTGCCGTTGCATTAGCCTCCTCCCCCCACTTCGTCACTACGCTTATCTCCCATTCACATTCCTCATCCTCACACATCAAATTCTCCGCACCATCACCTTCCATCCTCCAATCTCCCACCAACCTAACTCAACAGGTTACCTCAGCACACTCAGTACTCAGCCAACCTCAGCCTCCTCCCAATATTCCTGCGTATAACGTCGCGCTCGACGGGTTCGTTCTGCGCTCGATTCGCATTGAGTGCCTGACGAAGCATGCCCGCATCGAAGAAGCCATCTAGAATCGGGGCGAAAAAATCAGAATCAGCGATCAATGAAACAGTGGAAAATAAGGCGGTGTGTTGGTGATGTGTGGTGATGATGAAGTCTCGTGTGCGCATGCCGCTTATACCGCTCAATCGCATCAATAATGTAGGAAAGCAAAGAAGAAAACTTCTCTAATGAGGAAAGAGGGGAACAAACAAAACGCTAAGAAGAGTAAAAAATCGGTTTCCTCGCCGCAACAGGCGCTTTCCTCGCCTTCACCGTTTTAACAACCGGAATGGGTTTACGCGGCGAGCTTTGCAAAACAGGCGTCATGGGTTTGAAAGGCGGGGAATGAGGAGGCGTAGGCGGTAAACCACCCACCGTAGGGAAAGGTTGTGAAGAAGAAGGCAAAGAGGAACAAGAAGCATGGCCCGAGACTTCATCGAGGGAAAGAAGGGAAGGAGGGGAAGGGGGAGTCCTACATCCACCGAGACCATCGTCGTCTTCATCATCTACTATACTCTCTGCAGGCGTCTGTT